CATTCCTAACCAAGGAATTGTTTCAGCAAATTAATTATTTTATTTTATAGTCAACAAAAAAACTGTTCATAGAAAAAAATTTTTCTTATTATACTTCTATGTATATGTATAGTACAGCAATTGGTGAATTTATACCAAAAATTAAATTTTGACTTGATCATGAAACATTTGATGTAAGAAGCATTAAACTTGGTTTAGTCTGATAAATTAATATACAAAACTTTTCTTTTCATCTTTTAAAATATTTTCCTGCTTTTATAAAGCATCACTTTTTCGAAGTGTATAAAATGGTCAAAACATTTTTATTACATCCATTTTACTATATACAGTCTTTTGGGTACTTTTCAAAGAGAAAGATTTTACCAACCTTATCAAATATGGGAATTTGATAAAATATCTGGTGGACATTTCCTTCAACCCCTCACTATACTTGATCCACCAATCGACCATATCGACTTCCCAGATGATTTAAACAAAACCATCACTAAATACTCAAACCCAAACAGTTATCGTTTCCAAATAGGAATCGACCTAATGGAAAAAGCAAAATTTTTTCTCCACTTAGCCACAAAGCCAAACTATCCTAAAATAGCTTGCTGGATATAAATGGCAGACGTATTTTTATCCTCAGATTTCTTGAACCACATGAAGATCTGGACATTCAAAACGAACCATAAGCAATCCAGCTACTGAAAAACTTATCCAAAATGGAACAATACAGAAACCCTGAGACTAGTAAATAGTATGCACCAATCAGTTAATACAGGTAATGCTCAAATTGCTATATTGCAGGAGATAATCCATCTTAGCAAGGTACAAGTGATAACCAATCCTATTATCATTCTGGTAATTCTGTGTTAAATTCACACATTTCTTCTTCTAGAAACACTAGACCTGAAGAAATTAAAATGTTTCATTTTATAAATAATTTTCTTTTATCTACACCAAAAATGATTTTATTCACCAAAAAGGTTCGATATTATTCTTATGTACAAGGTTGTTGTTATTTTCAAACCTATAAACCATATAGTTTAGATATTTTGATTGACACAGGAGCAACAATCTCTAGCTGTCGACCTAATGCTTTGCTTTCAACCCTATGGCAAAACATGAAGCATCCTCTTATAATAGTTGGTATTGATGGTAAGGAAACCATTGTTAGTTTAAAAGCTAAAATGTCACTGTTTCCTTAAATGATGTTAAGTTTAGAATTCCTAAAATATTATGCTTTCCTAAATGCATGGAGACATCTTGCTAAGAAATAATTTTATTCATAGATATTTACCATTTTTTATTTTAACAGATCATCTTACTTTTACTATTGATAAAAAATCAATAAATGTTCCTTTATTATCAAAGCATAAACATGTTTGTGATAATGGTTTTCACCCAGAAATAACCCATATTTCTAAAATTAAAGCTATCAATGAAAGACATTGGCTTTATAAGATTTTGCAGGAAAACTTTAATGAACAACCATTGAAGCTTTGGAAGCAAAGTCCAAGATACTGTGAGCTTACTCTCCATGATCCAAAAGAGATCGTCCGAGTAAAATCCATGATCTATACCAAGCAAGATATAGATGAATTCGAAATTCAAATTTTAGAATTACTTGACAAAGGTCTGATAGAACCAACTACCAGTCCTCTCTCTAGTCCAGCATTTTTGGTAAGAAACCATTTTGAGATTAAACAAGGTAAACACCGAATGGTTATCAATTATAAGAAATTAAATCAAAATCTTGTTTCTGATTGCTATTTTATTCCTCGAAAAGATGTTTTGATAAATTTAGCTAAAAAGGCTAAATATTTTTCTAAGTTTGATTGTAAATCCGACTTTTGGAAAATCATGCTTATAGATTTATCTAAACCCTTAACTACTTTTAGTGCACCAATAGGCCACTACCAATGGATTGTTATGCTTTTCGGTCTATGCAACACCCTTCAAATCTTTTAGCGTTGGATGGATAATATTTTTAGCAAACATAAACAATTTTGCTGTATTTATATTGATGATATTTTAGTATTTTTTAATACCTTGAATGAGCACAAGGAACACCTGAATATTATTGCTCAAAAATTTATTTTACATGGTATTATTTGAAGTTTCGAAAAGGTTGAACTTGAAAAAACTGAGATAGAATTTCTTGGTCTCAACTTATCTGCAAATGGACTAACATTGCAGGATCATATTATCTCAAAGATCCAGGGGTTTCAGAATAACTGGATAATGTCACACAGCTACAACAGCTGTTAGGTATACTTAATTATGGCAGGCAATTTTTTAAAAACCTTTCTAAAAAAGAAAGTTATCTTTTACCTAAATTACATAAAGATAATGATTTTGTCTGGACCACAACAGATTCTAATATTGTCAAACAGATCAAATCAAAGTTAACCTTTATTCTTAAAGTCTATCTACCTTAACAAGGTGACTTATTAATTTTAGAGATAGATGCTAGTGATGAACATTAGAGATGTGTCCTTAAAGCAAAAAATCTTCATCAAAAGGATGAATTGATTTGTGGCTACAATTTCGATAAATTTCAAACCAAATGAAATAAATTATATTATCTTTGAAAAAGAATTATTAGTCATAAAAAATGGTGTACAGTGATTTCACATCTATTAGCCCCTGAGATCTTTGTTATCAGAACAGATAACCAAGCAGTAAGAAACTTTCTCCAAAACAAAAAGCTCTCTGATAATCCAAAGCGTATTAAATGGTACAATTTTCTTTGTCAATATCACTTTCAGGTAGAATTCATCAACGGAGACAAAAACCTCATTGCAGATTATCTAAGCTGACCAAATGGATCGAGAAAAACAACATCTCCAGGACACAGGTGAATGGAGAACTATCAAGAAAAAAATAAGTAAAAAATCTACTTCCTCTTCTTATTCTCCAAAAACCTATGTTTTCCCTACAAATCCTAACCCAGGATTTAGTTTTTACAATAATCCTAACCAAGGATTATATCTCTATCAACAATCACTTTATAGACCTCCTTTCATGAGGATTCAACCAAAATTCTCTCAATTTGCTCAAGATCCAAACGAATGGACACCCATGAGTTACTCTCAAATCATTTCTTCAACAAAATAACTGCTTGAAAGAACAAAACTCTCTAACCCGGAGATCAAAAATTTTTATAACCTTGGACTTGAACCACAAGTCTACAAATTGTTAAACAATGTTTGAAAATCTCATCTCTTAGAAAACAAATCCAGCTTCAGAAAAGAGATGACCAAATTAGCTGAATTTTTAGTCAACCAGGCTAAAGAATTTCAGAGTTTTAAAGAAATTGCTTTCCAAAGCCTTCTATCAACTAATCTGCTAAAACAGTAAGATATTGATTTCTTTGCTTCGAAAGAAAATCAGTACAGTATTCAAGAGATAAACAGTTTCTTGAATTTGTGTGAATACTTTGAAAAAGAAAGTTATATTTCCTCTAAGCTAAACAAGCTTAAGAGAATCCTTCTTTCTGAAAAAGCTGTGGTATTCCTAACCAAGAAATTGTTCCAGATTTTACAGTCAACAGAAAAACTGTTGATAAAATTTTTTTTTATTATTATACTTCTACGTATATGTATAATACAGCAATTGGTGAATTTATACTAAAAATTAAATTTCGACTTGATCATAAAACATTTGATGTAAAAAGCATTGAACTTGGTTTAGTCGGATAAATTACTATACAAAACTTTTCTTTGCATCTTTTAAAAGATTTTTTTGCTTTTATAAAGCATCACTTTTACGAGTGTATAAAATGGTCAAAACATTTTTATTACATCCATTTTACTATATACAGTCTTTTGGGTACCTTTCAAAGAGAAAGATTTTACCAACCTTATCAAATATGAGAATTTGATAGAATATCAGGTGGATATTTCCTTCAACCCTTCACTATACTTGATCCACCAATCGACCATATCAACTTCCCAGATGATTTAAACAAAACCATCACTAAATACTCAAACCCAAACAGTTATAATTTCCAAACAAGAATCAACCTAATGGAAAAAGCAAAATTCTTTCTCCATTTAGCCACAAAGCTAGACTATCCCAAAGTAGCTTGCTGGACAGATGGCAGACGTATTTTTGTCCTCAGATTTCTTAAACCACATGAAGATCTGGACATTCAAAATGAACCATAAGCAATCAAGCTATTGGAAAACTTATCCAAAATGGAAGATCTACATCATCCCATAGAATTACTATACCAGTATCAAGAAAGATGGTAAATGTAGAACAAATCACATTCTGGATCTACTCCATCACCCCAGTCTCTTAATGCACTGGACGAAGAATTCTATAACATAAACAATATTATGGAAGGATAATTACTGTGCATATTCCAAACAAGAATAAGCCAAAACAAACTACTGACACAAAACAACAAGTTCACTCGACTCCTAAGACCAGCAGACAGAAACAACTATAGCAGACAGATAAAACGTCATTATAGTAGTCACTATAGCAAAAAAAGATAGAGACCTACCACCAAAAGCACTGTATCAGGTCACTGTAGCAGTACTGTAGATAAAAATTTTACTGTACATTGTAGTAGACTCTGTACATAGTTACTATTTAGAATTTTTCTATTTAAACCTCTGCTGTAATTAGTTGAAGGCATTCTTGGAGGCCTTTTCTTTTTTCAACTCCCTTTCTTACTCCCCCCCTCTCTCTCTCTCTCTCTTATCTACCATCCTCCACTTGTAAAATATCTTTTAAGTTTAGTTAAACCTTTATACATAGATCCTTTCCGCACCAGTTGCCCTAACAAAGAGAAAAGTGCCAAGAAAATTATCAAAAAACTTAATGACAATTTTCTTCAAATTTTTTTATTTATGAATTATCTGATGAAGAAATCTATTATGAAGTTTTTTCTGAAATTGATTATAGTTCTTCTATTGATGAATTTGATTTTATTTTCATACTGAATACTGAATCTAACTAAGATAATATTTCAATTACATCTTCTATAGGTACAACAACGGTGTAATTGAACAAATATCTTTCCAACTTTCATACACAAAATCAAAAGGGAAACTTCACTGCAAGTACTTGGAAAGCAAAGCGCGTTAAATGGTCTTATCTCTTCTTTCCCTTTTTTCTCCTTTGACTTATAAGACTTTCCAATTTGCAAACTGCAATTTCATGCAGCTTTGTTTTGTTTTGACATCACTCACACGTTTCCCTCGGAATTAAATCAATGCCCCTGGAAAAAATGCCCCTATCTAAAGTCTTTCGAGTCAACTAAATGCTTTTCAAGTTACCAAGTCTTTGTTTCCTTCCTTTACACTTCCATTGAAAACTTGGTATCAAATTCCCACACTTCATCTGAGGCAAAGTATGATCTCCTCAAACAAACACACACTATTCACAAACTAATCTTTCAGTTCTTCTACCCCTTCTCTTCACAGCAAAAGAAAATGAATCCCCGCCGTTTCCCGTCATCACTTTTTCCCCTTCTTATTATTTTCGTATTCCAAGTCAAGCTTGGGATTCCTCAGTCATTAGGTTACCCTGATCGCTACACGGAGTGTCGTAATCCACAGTTCAAATGTGGGAACATCTCTGCTGGGTATCCTTTCTCAGGAGATGGCATACCATCGTTTTGTGGACATCCTGGTCTGCAACTGGATTGTGAAAATGATACTCCTACAATAGAGATCGTTAATGTGAAATATCAGGTGCTGGCTATCCATACGGAAAGTCAAACAATAAGGATAGCGAGGCAGGACTTCATCAAGAATAATTTATGTGACCCAGAATTTCCAAATTCGATCCTTGATAATAAGCTCTTCGACTTCATCCATGCTCCTGGTTTTGCCCATGTTACTCTGCTTTATGATTGCCTACATGTGATACAAACGAATCTCGGACACTTCAATTGCAGCGTAAATAGAAAGAATTACAGGAACGTTTGGGTCGTACCGGCCGAATTTAATAGTTCTGTGCCATGTTCTGCTAATGTTACTGTTCCGGTTCTTCGATCTCCGCTTGCAAAAAACTTCGATTACTTATTGCTCCTAGGAGAATTAAACGAAGGATTTGAGGTGAAATGGAAGCTGGATAGCATAGCATGTTCGAAGTGCATCGGAACCGGAGGAGCATGTGGCTTTGGCTTTAATAGTCAAACAATTTGCCTCTGCCCAAACGCAACTAATCCTTGGGCGGAAATCCCAGAATGCCCTCATGGCAAAGGTATGTACTTCAATTTTTCAAGCACTAGCTAGTAAGGAAGGATGCCCTTTATTATATTACTTCAATTTTTTTTTTTTTTTGAGCAGCAGTAAAAGAATTGGTACTATATAAAATAAAATAAATCCATACTTACTGTTTTAACTTATAAGAACTCTTAAAGTTTTATCAACACGTGACAAGTAATTTTCTTATTATGTAATATTTTTTAAAAAATAAAATTCTATAATTTTTTTATTTGAGAAAAAGGAAAATTTGAACATAACTTGAATAAGAGAGAAGACATACATGTAAAATTGAACAAATGATTCAGATTTAATATCACTTTAAGCATAATTATTAAATATTGAAAGAAAAATTAAAACATTGCAAAAAAAAAAAAGTAAAATTAAACTTTTTTGTCTCTACTTATCCATAAATTTTAAAGTTTGATTGTAATAAGTAAATATCTAAAAATGTAACCCACTTAGAACTTAAACAATTAATTGATTAGTGTTTAAACCTAGTCTTCTCTATGTACCTGTTGAACTTCTACTACCAGTTTTAACCAAAAAAAAAAAAAAAAAGAAGTAACATCCATTCTGACTAAGAACTAAGATGTGTGAAAAATGTGATAGGGATAGTGGCATGTATAAGTATTAGGAGGACAAAGTTAAGTATACAACATAAAATCAATTTGTAATAAGTGAAGAGGTTTAATTTGATTATAAGATTATAGAAAACAAGAAATTTATTGGATATGAGATAATATAATTTTAATAAATCCTCGTCATATTTAAATAAAAATAAAAAAAATCTATCACGTGACAGATTTGAAAATAACGATAAGAAAAAAATCATGATTATGATATTATGTTAAGCATCTAAGTTAAATCTAACTAAATTTAATCTCGTGTGATGCACGGAATGACAATTATTATATATAATAATTTTTTTAAAAATAAAATAAAAATAGCAATAGAAAAAGAGTTTGAGAAAAATTAAATTGTATACATGCCAAACAATAATTTTAAAATTTTGATAACCGAAAAAATAAATAATTCTAATGAAAGTTTACTAATTACCAATTCTATAAAACAACTAACTAAAGAAAAATAAAAAATGAATAATTGAACTATTAAAATGTAACAACAATTCAATCACACTAAAATCCTAATATGAAATTCAACTTTGAAAAAAATTCTATGTAACAAAAAATAAGAAAATAATCTATTAATAAAAAATAATTCCAGGAAAAATTATAAATGGAGTTGTATCATTAAATTACCCTAAGGAAATAAGTAAATGTCATAAACCTTTTTATTCTTTAAAATTTATGTCCTTTTTTCATTCAATAAAAAAAACCAACATATGTTAATAAATGCAAAACCTCATGCCCTTGAAAAGGTACCTTTTACGTGCATTGGAGTTAAAAATTGAAAATTTGCAATCCAATATTATTTTCTTTATTAGTTGAATTTTTATTAAAATTTTGAAATTAAAAATTGATTAAAAGAAAATACATAAGAAATATTTGCTTCCAATATAAAATAATTGCTATAAAAAAAACACATGTTGGGGAATAACTCAATTTATCAATACCACAAAAGCTTTGAAACAAAATTATTAAAAAAAATAAGATAGAGAAATTGTTAATACATTAAATTTTGGGTTTATTAAATGATTCTAAAACAAAGAAATTAATAAATCAAAATAAATATATATGTAACATAATGAACAATAAAATTTAATTTAATGAAAGAAAACTATGTATTCAAATAAAGTTAAGAAGATCATTGTATTGTATGGATGTACTCATAAACATAAATTGTAAATCAAATAAGAATAAAAGTAATGGATTAAAAGAAATGGTAACTAAGAAAATACCAATAGGAATTTAAAATTTTAAGTTAAAATAAAATAGTTGGTAAAGTTTTAGGGTGATAGGAATAAAAATACCGAGGTAGAAAAGGGTTTACTCTTGACGTAAAGCTTTTGACTTTGACTTAAAAGGTGAAGTTGTGTAACTGTAAGGCAAACCGGCTAAGATTTCTGTAGTAAGAGAATGCCTTAAACATGTAATAGTTAACTATGTAAGAGATAGATACAAAATTCTAGTTGATTTTCTAAAGTAACTTATTTCTGGTGGTCATCCTTTTACATTCATAATGTAAGACTACCCAAGAATCTTATTTATCGGATAAAGTAAAATGTAAATTTTTTTTCCTTTTTTTTAAAATAAAGTAAAACATAAATATTAAATACTAATGGTTGACTAACAATAACATTAGAATTAAGAGTAATTACATCAAAAATATTTCAATTAGTAATAATGCTTATTTAATATATAAAAACTTCTAAAATAAAAATGAATTTTTTTATTAAGAGCTAATTATGCATACAAATTATGTGTACAGGTTTGAGTCGTAGGGAAAAAAAGTTACTTTGTTTTACATACATTAAATCCAAATGATATTGCATGTTTTTATAAATGATATGAAACTTTACATTTTCTAAATTTTTCAAAAATTTTCAAACATCTCTAAAATATATTGTAAAAAAATAGCATGATAAAATGTTGAATAAAGAATTATATTGAATTAATGTCTTTGAATTATATGTTGAAATAACTATCACTTACTGTAAACCTAATAACACTTATCTTGTTATATATAAAAAAAATGGAAATTAAAAAACCACTTTTAACAATTTTAATTTTTGCTATATACCAAAAAATTAAAATTAAAAAGTTACTTTTAACAATTTTCATTTACGCTTACACAGTAATTAGCTCCACTTCAAGGTAAAGCATGAAAATGATAATATCAAAGCAACAAACATATCTAATGACTTAAACAAACAAATAAAAAAAATCTAATCTTAAATAAAATCATTTCATACAAAAATTAAAAAAATACATACTTAATACATATGATAAAATAAGTAATAGGCAATTACTTTCTTTTAATCTACCACCTAGCTTGCTCCCTTATTTCATAATCCAAAAAAGAGAAGAATAATGGGGATTTGTTATACAAATCAATACCGTAATAAAAACTTACAAAAAAATATAAAATAATATGTACAAATATATTTATAATTTAAATTGCAATAGAACTAATAGCAATAACCAAAACATAAAAAAAAAAAAAAAAATTCCAAATCATTAAATTTTCAAGAAATTTTTCATAATTTTCTTGGAACCCAAATGGATTATTTTAAAAGGAATGTATTTTCAAAATGATTTTTTTTAATAAAAAAAACTTATTATATGATTATGATGAAGCATGAATTTGGAAGAGCTTCACTCAAAAGAAAAAAAAAATAGAGCATTAACTAAAATAATACAAAAGCAAACAAAAAGTAATAAAAAAACGTTTAAGAAATAATTGATTATATTAAATTTTGTGCATCTAATTCACCTACATATATAACATCACAAAGAAAAAAAGAATCTAAGCTATTTTTACTCCATGGCAAAAGGAATATCAAGACAATGAGAAAAAAAAAAATATTGAAATGATACAATCTATTTAATAAGTATCTCGAAACACACTTATTTATAGGATGGCTCTTGGAAATAATTATAAAATGATTTGTAATTTTTGAATGACTAATTGATTAAAATGAGTTTAAGAACCAAATTAAGATCAATAATAGTATTTTAAATTGAAAGTAAATTGTGCTTGACAATTATAATAATTAAATATAAAGTGTATTAACTTGTTAGGGAGAAATGGAAAAGGAAAGATTTTGAAATTAGTGTGATAATAGTAATGAAATTCATTTGATATTATATATACCAAAATTAATTTTAATTGATTTAATTGTTTATTAGTTATTTAAAAATAATATATATATATATATATATTAAATGGTGGAGTAAATAAATAGGTCATAGGTTAAAATGTTAGCAATCGAATTTTTTTTTAACACAAATGTAATTTAAGAGTTAAATATTTATAATTGCAAAAAAAATGTCTCAAAATTATTCTATAATAATGACAATTAAAGTTTTATTACCTTTTATATGAATTTAATTTAGAGTAAAGCAAATAATAAAATATAAATGTAATTAACTTACTAAAAGATACATTACAATTTTTTAAAATTATCTATATGTCAATAATATAGGCCATTCACATTGGACATTTTTCTTTTCTATTAAAATTTTTGGCTTTTATATATTTATATAAGATTGGCTGAAAGTAAAAGGATCTAATTGAATATAAGATTACAAAAAATTATTTATTTATTAGATATAGAATAATACCACTTTAACAAACAAAACATAAATGAAGTTTTTTAAATAAAATTTATGATATCTTTTATTAAAAACTATTCAATAAGAAAAATTTTAATAAAAAACTATAGTTGATATAGTAATAGTTCAATAAGAATATCAATAATATGTAAAAAAAACTATTAAAATATTTTTTATAATTCAAATTTGATTAAAACTTATTCAACAATAAAAATTTTTTCAAAAATTTTAATAAAAAACTTATCTAAAATATGTCAAAATTTATTAAATATTTTTAAAACTGTTTACATTTAATCTAAATAATAAAATATTTTATTTTATCAAATTTTTAGATTATAATTTTTATCTAATAATTTTTAATATTAAACTTTACAAACTTCATTTAAATAATTTCATTTAAGTTGAGAAGTCAAGTTCATTGGTTTGATCTTCGTTTCATCTTTTAAATGTGGGATCAATCCTACATAAGCAAAACCTTAGTATAATTTAATAAAGATCTTTGGTTGTCAAATTATTGTGTACTCAAAGCATCTTCTAGCTTCCAAAACTTCCATCTAGTTTGTTGAAGATTTTGTTTTTTTTCCCTAGAGATGTATCGATCAAGAGAATTTGTTAACATCCCACGGCCAATTTTCAAAGATGTTATTAATAGAGACAAATTTATACCAATTTTCCCAGGTAAATCCTGTTGAATGTTTCACTAGATAGAAAAGAAAATTATAAGAAAAGAAAGAAAAAAAAATTATGCCAATAATATTTT